GGACGGAGGGCATCGCCTTCAACACAGACACGAGTCTCCTGGGCCTCAGGCGTCGGACCAGCCTGTCCACCTCCTTGGCTCTCCCATCGCGGGAGGAGCACCACCATGGACACGGCGTCGCCCCTGTAGGGCATCTCCAGCACCTGGGCGTGAAGCTTCTCCGAGTCCACTGGAACGGAGTTGGACATATTTGAAGTTCGTTGATAACAGGTGATTCATTTTACGATTTCCTTGCATTGTAAGGTAACTTGTTCTGTGTTGGAATTGTGTACATGTTCCCATAAAGAGAAAGACACCTAATGAACACATAATTGATTTTGATTTGCGACAAATCGATACAAACGCAATGAAAATGGGGAAAAAATATGTAATAACGGAAACTGGACACAAGGAAAGGTAGGGAGGTTCATTTTGTATAAAGGAAGAACTCCCATACATTACCATATTTGAACCTTCCCGTTTGCGTCATCATATCCACTTGGACAGACTCTTCCGGGGTTACGAAAAACTTGTCCTTGTGGTCCTTTGAGGCTTGAACGGGTATTTCCAAAAGCCTTTGAAGTAGACGGCGTTAGTTAAGACCATTTTAGCGTCTTTAACAAAGGAGGGTTCTATAAGCTTTGGTATTTTTCCTCGCGTTTCGGCGTTGATGAAGGCATTGATGTCAGCAGCGGCGGCGTCGGGCTGATGGCAGATTCAGGTTTGATTATTTCGGTCTCTGGAGTTTAAAGATCTTTAAAGAAATGTATCTGTTTTAAAAACTTGAAAGGATTTTTTCTTGTACAAGGGTCTCTTCTGTACGCGTCATAAAAGTTATGCTGCGTTCGGAACTGCTCGTCTTGCTCGTCCAGACACCTTGTCCAGACAAGCAGGACAAGTGGGCCGCGTTCTGAACCTCCAAGACCCTTTCTGCCCAGAATGCAACCGGCTCCAAGGTAAACATATTTTTTTTTATTTTTTATTTATTTTTTTTTTTTTTTTTTTTATCATACTGGTGTCTTTATTTTACACGCTGCATAGGTTTTGTAACTCCTTTGATGCATATTTAACTTACCTGCAACTGACAAACACAAAAATATCCTTTGATAACACCAATAAAGGGTTATAAAATTACCCACCAATATCTTGCGGTTACCTACAACTGTCAATGTTTACATACAAAATTACTGTGACGTCATCTCGTCCTGTTCGCCCAGGTTCGCAGGAGGGCGAGTTGGACGAGCCAGAATACTTGTCCGGGACGAGATTGTGGAAGTTCCGAACGGTCAAAACATCTTGTCCAACTGGGCTGGACGAGATAGACGAGCAGTTCCGAACGCAGCGTTAAATCCAGATTAAAGTTTCATCCAAATCCACAGTACTTTCATAGATGTAATACACAATACCAGACGCACGCGTCCATGCGATCATCAGTAAATCTGTTCTTTTACAATTAAGAGCGGGCATTTGTGTAGTCGAAATTAGCAAACTCTTTGAGTTTCATATCGCACGCTAATGCTGTTACCGAGACGTTTGCTAAAAAAAAAAAAAAAAAAAAAAAAAAAAAAAAAAAAAAAAAAATGACACACACACACACACACACACACACTATATATATATATATATATATATATATATATATATATACATACGGCAGTCTTATAGCATGAGGATGTGCATTTGTGTTACGACAACTAAATCCAATAAAGGACTTCAAATGCTCTTTTTATAGGCAACAGAACTGTAGCTGTTAAACAAAAGTTACATCAGTTTATTTCTGCGGAGAGTTTTCTCCGAGAGTTTTTTCGTGTTTTGTTGCTGTCGAGGAATATGATAACAAATTCCCACGTAGTTTTGAAGGCATTGTAATATAAAGATTCAGAAAGTTTGTACTTTAAATCTGAAACCTAATCGTGATGTTATTGAAACTCTGGAATTATTTGTGGGATTTCCTTTCGTTTTTTTTCGAGAGTTATTTCTGCAGTTTAAGTATCCCACGACTTATGAAAATATATGTTGATAAAAGTTTATACACATCTTTAGCATGAAAATGCCAGAATTAGTTTCATTATTCGCAATAAAAACATTTATGGCAACTCGACTTCATCCTTTTTACCTGAATGGTGCGACTAACTAGCTCATTTTGAGCATGGCAGGATTAAAGTACGAGCTCAAAAGTGAATGCTGTCCAGAGATGAAATAAAAGTTGATAATGGACGCTGCCATTGCGCATGCGCACTAGAGATCTGGATTAAACTTGAATTCTGGATTAACTTTTATGGCACGTACAGAAGACGCCCTAAAGCACTGAAGAAGTTGGTTCATTCTACATACATTAAATGATCACCACAGAAGGCTTTCTCTGTTACTCAAGATCAAAGTAAGTCTGCTGAACAGATCTGCCCTCTTGTACGGAAGGCTTTCACACTGCGCCCGAGGTTTAAGCTATAAGGTTTGAAATGCTTCACTTTGTTTAAGGCTTAAAAGGTTTTATCACTGTGCCTCGGCTCATATTTCTGTCTTCTCGTACTAGACCAAGATTGCCAGAGAACTCCCTTAACCACTTGATGGAAACGTATCACAAATTGAAATACAATGTCAGGTTACAGAGATTGTATGTATATACGAAGTGATAATGCAGTGATTTAATGCAAATGTATGTGTAGATTACCCTCTTTTTGCAGAGACATAATCAAAACATTAGACCATAACTTATAAGCTGTGCTTTTATATAAAGAATGATGTTCGTATCCTCACTGAGCCATGAATCTGTAACTACATGAGTTCTGATATCCCTATTTTGGATATGCTGCGATGTTACAAGTGATGAAGACTCCCCACATCTAGTAGGCAGGAAAATAAAGCTGTAAGCCAAGTGTTTCTTACCCTATTAAAGTCTGTAACTTCACTTTGTCGTCGAGGACTTTTCCCACGCATTCTCGGACGGGAATGGACTGGTCGAAGTATATCCTGTTAGCCGAGTTGATGGTGTAGTTCTGGTTTGCTTCTTGGGAGTCATAGCTGCAGTCGTGTTATTTTAGTAGAAATTATTATCTGATAATGTTATTACTTGCATTATAAAATCATGATCCTTTTTGTTATCATCAAGGTATTCATGTCCATTTCTCTCTCTCTCTCTCTCTCTCTCTCTCTCTCTATATATATATATATATATATATATATATATATATATATATATATATATATATATATATGTATATATATATATATATATATATATATATATATATATATATATACTTTATATACATATACACGAAAATGAATAAACCAACAATATGAATTTTAAAAATCTTTTTGTTGTTCTTTATAATTTTTGTATACACGTTACTGTGTTAATGTTTTACACAAACACACACAGAATCACACACACACACACACACATACATATATATATATATATATATATATATATATATATATATATATATATATATATATCAATCTACCTACCACCTCTCTTAACGGTTCACTCGGTAGGTTTAATCGCGTCAACCCACTCACCGCCGTTCGAGGGCCCTGAACAGGGCGAGCGTGTCCTCCCTGTTGGTGAGCCGCAGAACCTGCTCCAGCTCCGCCTTCGTGTTGCCTCGGGAGCCGAAGTAGGCGAGGACGAGGGCGCTCCAGACGCTGAAGGGCGAGATGAAGAAGTTCCCCGACGGAGGGAGAGCCTTCCTGAGTAAGTCGAGGCTGAAGGGGTCGTCGCCTGAGAATCGGGAGCCGCGGGGGCGGCGAGGTGTCGGAGGAGGAGAGGCACTGACAGCTGGCCCGTGACAGGAGGGCGAGGGCGGGGAGCAGCACGCACACTCTCATGGTTCTGAAAGGTCACGCACACACTGGTATTTGAATATAGAAACACACACACGCACATGTATATATCTTAGTCAAAATATTATGTATTTCTAACTATAGACAAAAGCGAGCCAGATACATTAGCACTATTAAGATATCTGGTCTTATTATTTTGTCGCAATGAACACGGTTTAGAAATAAGCGACTCAGACACGGGTTGCAGTATACACAAAACTATAGGGTGCACAGGAAACATATAACCGATATTGCATGTTCGCCTAATAGATTGCAAATAGACCTTATGAGGTGGGAGGCAAAATGCTGAGAAGAACGGCGCAATATCTTTCAGTCACCTCAACACATCAGCAGTCAACAGTTACCATATGCGATTTGCAGTACCATAAATTCCTTACGAAATCTGAATATTCATATAAAACAGAAAACACCAACGATGGTCTGTGGTGAGACTTTAACAAGCTAGAGATTACTGAGTTAGCGAGGCTTTTCCTGTGAATATTTTACTACCCCTCTACATCTGGTTTATTCATAATTCCATCAAGCACACAATAATGATACACTGAACTTACACAAACCGTAGTTTATTGTCTTTTATGCTCTATGTTTGGTGCCACGTCTCTCTGTGTAAGTGTATATTTGTTACAAAACTAAGATTTAATTAATACACTACAAATCTGAACTATAATGAAAAATCTTTATCTGAATTTGATCACAAAGAGATACATGTTTTGGGATGATTTGATTCTCATGTTCAGAATTTTAACATCGTCATACAGATGAACGTCTTATCATACAGGGTGTCCTGTATTCACTGTTAATGAATGGTTAGTGATATGTTCATATGTTAACCACTTTCATTAAGTTATGAAATTATCTTGAAATTCTGTGTGCGAGACGTTTGTTAAAAATGTGCGAGGCCCGACCCAAGAATATTCATACATAAAGCAAATAAAGGCTATCGATATACATTTATATCTATCCGGCAGATATGCATTTGTCTGTCTACATTCATATTCATAATAATTGGATCAGGCTTCGCACAGTATTAACAAACCGGCCGATGATATACATCAGCATACAAATCATACAAAACACCGGTACACAGTGCTCACCAAGAGAGTCTCTGTGAACCTAGAGCGAGCCTCCTCCTGACAGACGAGCGCGAGAAGTCTTTCTCACGCAACGCACTTTCACCTACTACTGAGAGGCGGCTGGGACTCACGCTGATATACATCGCAGAGAGACCGCGAGAGCCGACATTTCATCTGTTGATTATGTTTAGATCTCTGCATTTATTTGGTCTTGCCTGTTCATATATCCTTAGCTCAAAGAATCGGCTCCTAGGGTTAATGAAATTATTTTTTTATTATCATTATTATTTTTTATCATCACGATTCCTATAATGATTCCTATGATTATCATTAGCACCATTATTATTATTACTATATTATCATAATCATTTTCATTACTACTATCATTGTCATTATTATTACAGTCATTATTATTACTACTTTTCATCATTTTATTATAATTATCATTATTACTATTGCTATCGTATTTATTATTATCATTATAACTATTGCTTTCATATTTATCATTATCACTATTGCTATCATATTGATCCTTATCCCCATTACTATTATCATCGTTATTATTATCACCACCCACCATCATCATCTTCATTATCATCATCCATTCATTTATCTTTCT